CCCTAATTTCTTTAGCTTCTTTTTTTAAATCTTAAAATCTCCAGTAAGAGCTGGAAGTGGCAACAACAATATTATGTAACTGGCTATTTAGCATCCCACTGGTAAGACATTATATAAAAGAAAATGTTTCATATCATTTCCAATATCTTACCATTTACATTGTATGTGCATATGAAAACAACAAACAATATATTTCTGCACTTTGAATTTAATTTATGTGGCTATATTTTTTGAAAAAGAAAGGAATGGAATTTCATTTTTTACTTTGTGGTACAGTGTTGTGGGCTTCAACAACCTATGGTACCTACAGAAGAGCTTTCAGACAAGGAAATATAAATATTTTTTGTTTGTACAGTGGTTAGGTAAGTAGCATGAAGGCAGGGGAGCTAGTTGATAGCAATATTAAACTCCACAACATTTGTACATAGCTCCTGAGCAAACAAAACTGTTCTAAGAAATCTATAATCAAGGAAACAAAATCTCCATCAATTATCTTAACTCATTTTTCCCTGATAATACCAAAGACCAATACCAAACTAAAAGGATCAATAGCATTTCATTAAGCTCAAATGTTTTCAAAGATATATTTAACAATGAAAATCATCCTATATCAGGAGAATGCATGGAAATACAAGGGCACTAAAGTATCCACATGATATCCTAATTACATTACTATATGAAAATTGAAAAGCTCATGTATTCAAAATAATCCATTGAGAATACTGGGAGAATTTTAGAGACTATCACAAGCTCTTTTACATAAACTTAACCAGAACTAAAAGTGATACACGAGTATTATGAGCATTCAGGATTTTTGTAACATTAAGCAAAAATGACAGATTAGTTCTGACAAAAATTCATGAACTTCTCGAGCAGACAGAATCAAGTTTTGATTGAGTCTGATCTGCTTTACAGTCTTAGATTGAAGTTAAGCAAAACTTGGCGATCTCAACACAAGTCAGGCAAAGCTCAACCACTGGTTTACTAAGCATGACAATCAAACAAGGACATAATGTGTGAACCTGAAAACCAAAGAGAAATGACTTGTGTGATTCCTCTGCAGACCAGAATGACTTTGACTCAGATCTCTCTGTTGTCATCCTACATGAGTGCTACAGAAAACCTGAGGTATGGAGACACTTACTGAGAGGAACACCAGCCACCTCTCTGGTCTCTTCAGTTAGGGGTAATGACTCTAAACTGAAAATGAGTAGGACTGGACTAGATATGAGGAAGAAATTCTTTAATGGGAGAGTGGTGAGGCACTGGAACAGGTTGCCCAGAGAAGCTCATGGCCAGACTGGATAGGGCCCTCAGCAACCTGGTCTAATGGAAGGTTTCCTACCCATGGCAGGGGAGTTGGAACTAGATGATTTTTAAAGTTCCTTTCAACCCAAATCATTTTACAACTCTACTTATATTCTAATTATACCCATGGATTCTAATCACAATTAGAACCACAATTCTAGTTATATTCATGGATTTTTAAAAAGCAAAATATGGTCCAAAATGTTTTCCCCTTCTCAAAACAATTTTTTTGGTGACTGTATCTAGGCACACTCTCTTGTACACCTGTCACCACACTTGCACACATTATAAAGACATTCAGCATTTGGTGCATAGAAGGGCTCATCAAAGGAACCATAAGGATATCTGTCCATCAAACCATCCTACTCTCAACTCTTCTAATCTATTCAGACAGTCATGCCAGAGAAGTCATATTTAGTCCTATTGCCAAAGGACACATGCCTCACAACATATGACAAATATATAGCTTATTTCAGTTTGATTTGTAAAAGAATAAGTTCTCAAAAACTGATAAATATCAATTCATCCACAGCCACTGCAAATAAAACAAGAGAGTAATAAGACTTAACGTGTAAACTCCCACACTTTAATCTATACAGTATTATCAAAGGTGTTTTTCAACATACCATTGAGTACCAAGGGAAAAAAATTATGATAACAAGAGATAGTTCATTCTTCTGTTTTGCAACTGATTAAGCATCCAGTATTTAGAATGGCTTGTGATACAGTTAGCCTTTATTTTGACAGCTAAATGCATCCAGACATTATACAGAGATGCCCTAATTTCCACTTACCTACCCTGCATTTTAAGAATCATTTCCATATGGCAGTTTTATCCTGAATTTCTACCCTGATATAATCTCTGGGAACATTCAACAAGATATTTAAAAATATAACTAGGAAATTACTTTTTAGAACATTTTGAGCAATACTGATGTCCTGATTAAAAACAATGTCTACAGCTTTCCATCATTTAAATAGACAACACCTCCAGTGAGACTCTAGCCATGTCAGGACT